ATGAGGCCGTTTTCTTGGAACTCCGATAGGGTAGTAATATTGTACCCACTATGGAAATGTTACCTTTTGGTTCAGGTGTTGCAACACCACCCCCTCCTCCCCCAACCCAGCACCTCCACTCCCCCTAACAAAACGAATGCAATTTACTAGTAAGTTTTATTGAGTGCAGGCGACTAATGCGTACATTGAGTATTCATCAATGAATATCAGCCCGATTTTGAAATTGGATGATAAATACGATTGAACAGTTAATAAGAGTTAATATAAACTATTTATCATCCCTCTCTCAACTATGAAAGTTGCGGGGTTTACTAGTTTGAGTAAATTGGCCAGGCTTGAACAAAACGTTTCAGCAGAACAAATAGCTTGATAATGATGTATACTTAAATAACTAAAGTAAAGTATTATTTTCAGGTCCGTTTCCCTTTCTTTATGAGTGCGGATGCTCGGGCCCTACTAAGCAATCTACTTCAGGGAGATACAACCAAACGGTATGGCAATATGCGAAATGGCGTAGCAGATATTCAAAGCCATATTTGGTTCGCCACAATCGATTGGGTGGACATCCTTGACAAAAAATGCAAACCCCCTCATATTCCCACAGTTAAAGATGAAGCAGACACAACTAATTTTGACGATTACCCTGAAGAAGATTTAGGCGAACCTGCAGCAATTTCTCCTGAAATGCTCTTTGAGGAAGAATTCGCCGATTTTTAAATGCTCAAAATAATTCAATCGTAGAAAAAATCGTCAACTATTCACCTTTTCTAGCAGAACCTTCATCCCTACATACCAAAGGGACGCTGATTAAAATTGTCCTAATCACAAGTCGTAATGGGCTACAGTAATTGATTTCTCCCTGCCTCTATGATTTGGCCCAAGTTGTGCATCCCACTTTCTTAGCATCAATAAGCTTATTGGCTTCACTTATTGCAATGCCCTTGTACATACTAATACTTTACCAGATTGTTAGTTTTGGTCAGTAAATGGTATCTCTCCTTTCTCAGTTGTACTTCTCATGCCTCTACACTGGATATATTTGTGTACTTAGGTGCGTGCACAGGTGGTAACACCACTTCTACTATTCATTAATGCATTTACTTCCTACTAGGGCACCCCTCGATCCTCTGGAAGAATTATAAATGCGTGCGCGATGCTGAAACTACTTAACCAGATATTTCGTGGAATATGCCACATTAAGTTAGCGAAGATGATAGGCATATTTTAATCACAAAATTCACTATGAAAGAGGAGTTGCAAATGAACAAGCTAAATTTAATGTCACCATTTAAAATGAACACAACAGAAAGCCACATTTAACTCCAATCTAACAAATTGACAAGGTCATCTCCTACCAACTCAGCCAAATTCCACCTCGTACAAAATATTAACTCAACTTCAACATTTCCTTTCGACATTAAGTCATTAGCTTCGGTGCCTAAGACTGACTAATGCAGAGGGTAGCAGAATTGAGAACTATTGTTGGAGGGGAGCTAATCACCGATAGCCAAAGGTCAAATGGTTCTAGAAGAGACAATATACTTTGCAAGAATTCAACTGGTGAGATATTTAGCTCATCCACTTCGGTGTGGATGGGAAATTGCAAAAA